GACGTCAGGGTCCAAAAACACAAGGGATTTTCAACATTTTAACATAACCCTTCACAAACACATTGTAATTTCAATGATTTTGACCCCGATTCTCAGTGAATGGCGGTTTCGCCTGAGACATCCTCCCAAAATCGAGCCCCGACGTACCCTCTGGTACCCCAGACCCCGCCTGGGAGCCTCCTGGGGGCCTCCTGGAACCTCCTGGGGCCTCCTGGGGTTTTCTGTACCTTCTGGTACCCCAGACCCCGTCTCGGAGCCTCCTGGGGGTCTCCTGGAACCTCCTGGGGCCTCCTGGGGCCTCCTGGGGCCTCCTGGAGTCTCTTGGGGCCTCCTGGGGCCTCCTGGTGTCTCCTGGGGCCTCCTGAGGCCGCCTGGGGCCTGGGGCCTCCTGGGGCCTGAGAACTACATGTACACACAGAGACACAAATCACACCCAAACATCACACGCTCGACAAACGTAACACACACAACACCTACAACGCACAGAAAACACGCACAACACAGAGCACACATCACACACACACGCACACACACACACACACCCACACAACACTCACAATCCTGAGGCCTCCTGGAGCCTCTTCCGGTATCCAAATCGGGCCTCCTGAGGCTTCTTGGGGGGCCCTGGTACACACATCGCAAGGTGTGGCAACCCCACTTGCGCTCGAGTGCGACCTGGCTATTGCATTTCACTCCCAGCAGCTACCCTCCTCCTCCACTCCTGCTTCAAATGCCCTTTCAGTTTTTTGTTGTATGAACCTGGGCACACACGTGCTACTATATACATACATATATATATATATGTTTACGTACATGTATATATAGATGCATATGTGCATGCATATGTGTATATATATGTTTATGTAGAGGCATATGTATTTGTATACACAGATGTATACGCCTATGCACGTGTTTGTAGGTGTATATTTCTGTATCCATAGATGTATGTATATGTTTATGTATATGTACGTGTCGCTGTATATGCATACACATCTGCATATGTACATGTATTTGTACGTGTATATGTACATGATTATGCAATGTACATGTACATGCCACTGCCGATTTATACGCATATGTATATGCGTTTGTACATATACATGTATATATACATGTATGTTTATGTATATGTATGTGTATTGGTATATGTTCACATATATATAAGGGTATGTGCATGCATATATGACCGTATCTGCATATGTACACGCACATGTATATATTTATATACGTTATGTATAGGTCTGTGCATATGTATATGTATAGGTTCCTGTATATGTGTATGTGTAAGTATATACGTAGAAGTATATGTAGTTGCCTATGTATATGTATATGTATATGCATACGCATATGTATATCTATATATACGTGTATATGTATGTGTACATGTATAGTTGTATATGTACAGTTGTCTATGTATATGTGTATGCATATACATACACAGTATATATGTATATGTGCATGTGTATAGGTATATGTGTATATAGGAATGTGTATATGTATATGTGTATATGTTGTATATGTTGTATATGTTGTATATGTTGTATATGTGTATATGTGTATATGTATATAGGTATTTGTTATATATGTATATGTAGATGTATATGTGTATATGTATATGTATATGTGCAGTTGTATAGGTATATGTTGTATATATATATATTTTATGTACATGTGTATATATATGTATATGCGTATGTATATGTATCTGTATTTGTATATGTATTTATATATGTATATGTATATGTAGATGTATATGCATATGTATATGTATATGTATATGTATATGTATATATCTATATAGATATGTATATGTATATTTGTATGTATATGTATATGAATGTGTATATGTATATGTATATGTATACGTATATGTATATGTATATGTATATGTAAATGTACGTGTATATGTATATGTATATGTATATGTGTATGTACATGTATATGTATATGTATATGTATATGTATATGTAGATGTATATGTACATGTATATATATATGTATATGTATATGTATATGTATATGTATATGTATATGTATATGTATATGTATATGTATATGTGTATGCATATGTATGACTTTCTCAGTCCGCGGCCCCTCGAGGTCCCGACCGCTTTCATTTTTTTGGTGTTGTTTTTCTCCTCTCAGGCCCACTTCCTGATGGCCCATGGGTCTTGGCAACGCGCCGCAGAGGTCGAAATCGCCAGAGCACGCCGCGATTCAACAAATCATGTCGTCACAGATTTGGGTTTCCAGGTCGTAACTGGGGCCTCTGGCGGCCGCTCGGGACGCTTTCGGCACTTCCGGCGTGGCGCAGCTGCTGGAAGCCATCCCGGGGCGAGAAGACCTCCAGGAGCTAACTGGAGCCACAAGATGGGTGGGGCTGTCGGAGGTTGCCGCATCCCAGATTTACCTGTGCCCAGGGCAGCGTGACGGGGGGAGCGGCTCAGTGGGGGATGCGTCGCCCCCCGATCGCCCACTCATCGCCGCTGGGGGTCTGATGGCTCACCCCGCCCAGGAATGCGCGCTTTCCCCATGGGGGGCCCATCGCGTATCGCCGCTCCGTCGGCGATGCATCGCCACTTCCGAGTCGATGTTCCAGACGCGTCGCATAACCCCACCAGCCCATCCAGAGAAGTTGCCCAGGTGGTTTGCCCTGATCAGGGATGTGGAGGAGCATGCAGCGGAATATACTGGCCGGGGAAGCCGTCATACCCCAAGAGGGGGAGGGCTCCTCCGCGGTTTTGTCTGGGTTTCTTCCGGGGCCATTTTTTGGAGGCGAAGTCCCTCGGCGTACCCCGGCGGCTACACGGCCGTTTCGCCGGGGTCCCCAGGGTGCGTGGACGCTTCGTCTCCAATGTACGCGGTGCGCCTGGTTGCACTCGCGGCCGCCGAGAGGGGGAGGATGGAGGAGGAATCGGAGAAATCGGAGGATGAGGAAGAGGAATCGGATGATGATGATGATGATGATGATGATGATGATGATGATGGTGGTGGTGGTGGTGGTGGTGGTGATGATGATGGTGATGATGATGATGAGGATGACGATGACGATGCTGATGCTGATGCTGATGCTGATGCTGATGCTGATGCTGATGCTGATGTTGATGAGGATGCTGATGCTGATGCTGATGCTGATGCTGATGCTGCTGCCTCTGATGATGATAGTGGTGGTGGTGGCGATGATGATGGTGGTGGTGATGATGATAATGATGATGATGATGATGATTCTGCTGATGCTGATTATGACGAGAACGATAATCATGATTATGACGATGATGATGGTGGTGATGATGCTGCTGATGATGATGATGCTGATGATCCTACTGCTGATGCTGCTGCTGATGATGAGGAGGATAATGATGCTGATGATGATGATGGTGATGCTATTGATAATGATGATTGGATGGACAAGAAGATGATGGTGATGATTATGCTGATGATGCTGATTCTGATGCTGATGATTCTGTTGTTGATGATGATGTTGATGATGATGGTGATGATGATGGTGCTGCTGCTGCTGATCATGATGATGATGGTGGAGGTGATGCTGATGATGATGATGATGACGATGACGACGGTTATGATATTGATGCTTGTGCAGCTGCTGCTTATGATGCTGATGCTGATGCTGATGCTGCTGCTGCTGCTGATGATGATGATGCTGGTGTTGTTGGTGAGGATGATGCTGATGATGCTGCTGCTGATGATGATAATGATGATGATGACGACGCTGATGATGATGACGATGATGCTGATCATAATGATGATGATGATGACAACAATGATGATGAGGTGGGATGACGAGGATGAGGATGAGGATGAGAATGGTGGTGGTGGTGGTGATCATGTTGATGATGTTGATGACGATGATGCTGATGATGCTGCTGCTGCTGATGATGATGATGATGATGATGATGATGCTGATGGTGATAATGATGATGACGACGATGATGCTGATGATGATATTGCTGCTGATGATGATGATGATGATGATGATGATGATGATGATGATGATGATGATGATGATGATGATCATGATCATGATCATGATCAGGACGATGATGACGACGAGGAGGAGGAGGAGGAGGAGGAGGAGGAGGAGGAGGAGGAGGAGGGGAGGGGGAGGGGAGGGGGAGGGGGAGGGGAGGAGGGGGGGAGGGGGAGGGCGAGATGGGAGGATTGAGGGAGGTGGAGGGGAAGGGGGAGGAGAAGAGGGGGAGTGAGGAGAGATGGAACAGAGAGTTGCCATTTTATGTCTGACATGGACAGTCATGTCTTTTTTGGCGAGGGGCCATTTTTTACGCAACCAGGCTAACGGACGGGAACTTTTGGATCTCGTGTTGCTCCGCTGGTTCTGGCCCACCACGCCTCGGCCTGACACGCTGTCCACTTTCCAGTCCGCAGGCGTCCACATCCCGAGCCTGTTCGAGCCTCCTGGCCCGCGGAGCGGAGCGACACGCTATCCGCTCGCAGGGCACGGCGTGTCGCCAGCGCCGCAGCGACACGCTATCCAGAAGTTCCCGACCGTAGGTTATCGGCCAGCACCTCCACACCACCGGATGACCTGGGTTATTTCGAAGAATACAAAGCTGCGTAAACACCAACTTTCGACGGTCCGCGCGGACCTCTAAACGTTCCTGCTTATGCCTTCTTGCGTTCCCTGGTTATCGTCGAACAATAAACAACGATCTCTTGTCGCTGTCGCCGTCGCAATCGTTCACCGAGCGCGTTCCACTACTCGCAAAGTGCCTACTCGCCAACGCTCGAAAAGCATATGCTCGCGTCGATGTAATGGATCGTGAACTCGCCGTGGCGGATCCGGGCCATTCGCAAGTAGTTACTTCTGCGAGTAGTGGGAACGCGCCCATTTTGTTGTTGTTGTCGTCGTCGTCGTGTTCGTCGTCGTCGTCGCTCGTCGTCGTCGTCGTCGTCGTCGTCGTCGTCGTCGTCGTCGTCGCTCGTTGTCGTCGTCGTCGTCGTCGTCGTCGTCGCCCGGCCAGGCACCGTGCCGCCTTGCGCCTCGCACGTCATCACGGTTACCCTCACGGCCCACACGCCCGGCCCGCTGAGGCCGCGCGTGTGGCCGCCCGCCCCGCGAGCGGGCCGGCCCGCGGCGGGGTGGAGGGGCGGGGACGACGACGACGATGATGGTGGTGGTGGTGGTGGGGGTGGCGGTGGTGAGTGGTGGCGGTGGTGATGGTGACAGTGATGATGGTGATGATGATGATGGTGGTGGTGGTAATGATGATGATGATGATGATGATGGTGGTGGTGGTGATGATGATGATGATGATGATGATGACGGTGATGGTGACGGTGATGGTGACGGTGATGGTGATGATGATGATGATGATGATGATGATGATGATGATGATGACCATGGTGATGGTGATGGTGATGATGATGATGATGCTGCCTGCTGCCGCTGCTGCTGCCGCCGCCGCTGCTGCTGCCGTTGTTGATGATGATGACGATGAGGATCATGATGATGGTGATATTGATGGTGACGGTGATGGTGACGGCGATGCTAATGGTAGTGCTGATGCTGATTCTGATGCTGATGCTTCTGCTGCTGATGGTGGTGATGACGATGATGACGATGCTGATTCTGATGATTCTGGTTATGATGATGATGAGGAGGATGATGATGATTATGATGATGATAAGGATGATGACAATGCTGATGGTGATTATGATGATGATGCTGCTGATGATGATGGTGATGATGGTGATGATGATGATGATGATGATGATGATGATGATGATGATGATGATGATGATTATGCTGATGATTCTGATGATGCTCGGGACCGTGATCATTACACGTCTGACAGCAGTGAAGCGCAGGCGACAATGGCCTCTGCCGGTCCCTCCCGTGCTGGACCCAGGATCTCCATGTACGTGAAGATGCACGGCCATTCACTGGCCATTCATTGATGTCATCGCCTCTGTACCTTTGTGGCGCAACGCGCTCAAGCGTCGAGGCTACGTGCAGGGTTGCTGAAGGCCTGAGGTGTCAGAAAACATGCCTGAGTTGGGAATCGTACTCGCTCGCTTACACTTGTTGCTGGGCCCAGGATCTCCATGTACGTGAAGATGCACGGCAAGCAGATGCCCTTCCCGCTGGTGCTCGTCGCCAACTCCGTGGGCCCGCGCGTGGTGGTCGACCCCCCTTCGCTGGAGGGGTGCCTCGGGGTTGGGGGCCCTGCTTCAGCGGCTTGCTGGCGGGCGTGCCACGAGGGCGAGCGTCAGGGCCAGAGAACCCCGACCTCCTCTCGTGGTGAAGAGCTCTAGGTTCCAGGTTCGCGCGTTCGAGGGGCGGGGTCTCCGGACGCTCTCGTAGATTCCCGGAGGTCTTCCAGCCTCGGGATGCGCTCCAGCAGCTGCGCCTCGCCGAGGGCCCTCTTGGGGTGCCCGAGTCGTCCCGACTGGTCGCTGGGGACTCAAGTTATGTACCGAAAGCCATACGCGCCCTCGTCTCGGAAATGGCATGGCGGAGGTCATATTCTCGCGGCCTTCGGGGGCCCTCGCCGGGCCCTGGGGCCGTCAAGAGACGACTCGGGACGGAAGGTGGCCCCGCTGTGAACAAACCATTTTTTTGCGTCGGCGGCTAGGCAGAGTAACTGCGCTGGCGGAAGACCTGTATAAACGGGGACACCGTTTGAAAAAAACACATGTCGTCGGATATCTGGGAAGGCGAGGGGTCGACTGCGCCGACACTGGCACGCAGGCTGCCCGCGGCAGCGCTCCCCTTCTCCGCGCGGCGTGCCGGGCGTGTGGCCCCCCCGTGAGCCGCGGCGTCAGTCGTGCGCGGAGCCTTCCATCTTTTTCGCCCCCGCCCACGCGGAGGAGGAGGAGGAGGAGGAGGAGGAGGAGGGAGGAGGAGGAGAGGAGGAGGAGGAGGAGGAGGAGAGGAGGGAGGAGGAGAGGAGGAGGAGGAGGAGGAGGAGGAGGAGGAGGAGGAGGAGGAGGAGGAGGAGGAGAGGAGGAGGAGGAGGAGGAGGAGGAGAGGAGAGGAGGAGGAGGAGGAGGAGGAGGAGGAGGAGGAGAGGAGGAGGGAGGGGAGGAGGAGGAGAGAGGAGGAGGAGGAGGAGAGGAGGAGGAGGGAGGAGGAACTCTCTGCCTCTCTCTGCTCGCCCTTCCCTCGCCCACTCCTCCTCGTGCCCCTCTCCCCTGGAGGCGCCGCCCCTCCTCTGCTCTCGCCGCCCTCTCCCCTCCTGCCCTCGGACAACGTCCAACGTCTTGGACAAACAAGCACCGACCTCCTCCTCCGCCTCCTCCTCCTCCTCCCTCCTCCTCCCCCCTTCCCTTCCTCCTCCTCCTCCTCCTCCTCCTCCTCCTCCTCCTCCTCCTCCTCCCCTTGACGGGCCCACCGCCCGACTCCTTGCCCTCCCGGCACCCCTCCCCTCCCCCTCCCCCTCGCTCACCGCCCGCCCGCACTCTGCACGCGCCCGCCCCTCTGCCTCCGCCTCCACCTCCGCCCCGGTCTCCGCCGCCGCCGCCGCCTCCGCGTCCTCCAGTAGCAAGTCATGGGAGCCTGGCGAACCCTGTTAATTCCGTCTTTAGCGTCGATTAGCGTCGATTAGCGTCTGGGAGTCGACGAGATAGCGCCGATTTAGCGTCGGTTAGCGTCGTTAGCGTCGATTCAGCGTCGACAGGTTTTTCTGCCCTCTCGCGATCACGGGCTTGACTGGGCGGAGGGAGGAGGAAGCAGGGAGGGGCCCTGAGATCCTGGCAACTCCATTTTTTCGAGCCGGGCGTTTTCGCTAAATTTCGGGCCCAGGGACCCTCACAGATCGATGCGGTTTGAAAAGTGACGCAGACAGGTGGAGCCCTGGGGTCCGGTCGTGATTTTTGCGATGTTGCAATTTGGGGGGAGGGGGCCGGTCACGTCACGATTCGCGCCAGCGCAGGCCGGGGATGCCCAAGAATTGCTCCTTTCCAGACGGCGCTGGCGCGACTCGTGATGTGGCCATGGGTTATGATGTTCCAGCCTACTTTAGCCTTGATCACCAGAAAGAAGTTTGAGCACCAGACAAGTACCCCCAAGCTCGAGGGTTTTCGTGTGTCGGGCCCTGGGAGACACTGTTTCGACACTCTTTCGACACTTTTGCGGGTGCTCGAAGTTGTTTCTGGGATATGGTCCTCGAGCACGATGGGAGCAACATGCTGAGCCAGGGGGGCGGGGCCGGTCACGGGCGTTCTCGCGAAGCATCAAGCAGTGGCTCCGACGTGCGCGCTCGGGGGCCAGCATTAAGTCGGGCGTGACAGGAGAAATGTTTTAAAATAGTTACAAAATTCGGGGGACGGTTTTTGGCGTATTTAAAATATTTTAAAGCATATTTTTTGTTTTGTTTTGTTTATAATAGATATTTATACATAAGCGTAGTATATCTTTCCTCCAATATCCCCCTGTAGGGGGACATGCCCGACCTCAGGCCAGCACCCTACCACGGTGGGCCGAGGGTTGAGGGCCCCGGGCGGCCTTGTCGGGCCTCTTCTGCGCGGTAGAGACAGAGCACCGACTACACGCAATAGTGACCCTTCGCAGGAGTGACCTTGGGTGCGTGCTTGCTGGGGTGCCGCGATCGTCGAACGCGAGGCGGCAGTGGCGTCTTGCACGCTTGTGTTTGGCACCCCCGCGGCCCCCCAAAAGCCGCGCACCAAAGGTCACTCTTACCCAGGGTCACTCCTGCGTGTGGCCGAGAGGATCCGAGGACACCTCTTTATCTTTTATGCGTCTCCGCGCCCGTGTCCCTTTCTCTGGCCCTGCCTCCGCCTCCGCCTCCGCCTCCATGTCCGCCTCCGTCTCCGCCTCCGTCCCCGTCCCCGTCCTTGTCTACGTCTCTGTCTCTGTCTCTGTTTCTGACTCTGTCTCTGTCTGTGTATCTTGTTCTGTCTCCGTCTGTGTCCGTGTCTGCGTTTGTTTTGCGTCGGTGTCCGAGTCCACGTCTCTGTCCGCATCAGTGTCTGTGCTTGTGTCCGTGTCTGTATGTGTACAGTATGTAGTACGTGTCAGTATTGCTTGTCCTGCTTGTGCCGCCTGTTCTATTTATGCAATGCGGTGGGGGCGTTCGTCAAGGAATGTGCCCATGCGGCTTCAGACTCTGGAGGATCTCTTATTTTGATGAGGGCGGCGGTATGCCCAGGAAGGTTTGCAGTGCGACAAGCGTTTCACACGCCAGTTTCTCCAAGGGGGTCCGCGAATTCCAGAATTGAGAATGAGCGGAGTGAAATTATCAATGTGCCGCCAGCAGGTAGGAAGTGGATGATATTCCGAGCCGCTCGCATTTGGGCAGCCCGCACCGTGCCAGTAGCATGACGAGTACCCTTGACCTCCCAGAACTGATGGTGCGTAAGACCTTCGGCATTTGGGGGCACGATCGTGAACACTGGCAGTGCGCTCAGCTCTCTTGGGACGGGAGGGATTGCGACAGTGGCGCTGCCAAGATGATTTGTAGCGTCTACCCGCCTGGCTACCCCAAGGCGCCGACCTCCCACGTTTCGACCGCCGGCTGCGGGCGAGGACTGGGGCAGCGTGAAGTGCCTGGAGCCGGTCGTTAGGCACGTGCGCCTCACCAACGACTCGTGCATCGACGCGACCGTGCGCGCGTTCCTGAACGACCGGAAATCTCTCTGGACCGACCGGCCTGCCAGAGCCGCCGCCAGGAGCAGGTCACGCCTTCCACTCCCAATCCACGACCAGGTTCCAGGTCGGTGCGTTGCCATGTGCCACACCAGTCGCACTGCCACCGTCGTTCAGGGCGTGCTCAGAGCCCGCGAAGTGCGCACGTGTCTGGGGTTGGACGGCAAGAAGCAATCCACGGAGCGGTTTCCTGCCGACCCCTGCTCCTGCTGACTGTCGCCCCCAGTGGGCTCACACTTCTGCCACCTGTCATGCGCCAGCCCGACGGGGTCCATTTCGATCCGATCGATTCGATTCGAATTTCGGGTGTTGCCAGAAAGGTGTCCCTGCCGAAGGTGTTCCCTGGATTTCCGAGGAGGCCCAGATGGCCTCCAGAGCACCCCTCACAAGGCTCAGGGGGTGCCATGGGGCTCCAGAAGTGACGCGAAAAGCTGGGGACAACGTGGGCCAGGACCACGTCTAGAACAACCCGAAGTTTCGAGTCCGCTGGGCTCGATCCGACTCGATTCCGATCTTTCGACGGTCTGACGTTGTCTCGATGCCTGCATGGCGCTGTTGTGCATCCTGGCGCGGCCGAACTGGCTCGATTCCATACATCTGTTTGTATGTATACACACACGAGATCACTGGCATCCAGGACCCCAGGCCCAGGGCCCCCCCACTATTCCGAAACAACTCCCCCCCTTGGTACCCACTTTTTCCCGGGGCGTTCCGGAGCCTTTCTGGGGCTTTTGGCGGTCGATTTCGGCCTCAAGAGGGTTCGCTATGGTTCAGGCGGCGGCCCGTCTTCGACGAGCCCCCCCCCCCGGACTACCCTAGGAGGTTCCCAGAGCTTTGCAAAAGCTCCACGAGGACCCCATGACTGTCCCAAGAGGATCGCCAGATAGCTCTCCTGCGGCCCTGGAGCCTTGCGAGGACGCTCCCTGAGGGCCCCAAGTCGCTACCCAATAGTATTTCTTTCGATGGTTGTGGCTTTCTAGCATTTTCGCTTCTGGTGATGTGGCCATCAGAGGGCTCCACGATCGCGAGGGCTCCACGATCGCCCAAGAAAGCCCCATGAGCGTCCTAACGCGGGCCCAAGACGGCCCAAGAGACCCCCCGTAGAGCCATTTTGGCTCAAGGCTGCTTGGCATCAAGTTTCCAGCGGGCAGCGCCAGCAATCCCATCTCCTTGCCCTGCTAGAGGTCATGGCGTGGCCCAAGAAATCAGTGTTACCTGAGAATCTTGAGGTGAGCGGAGTGAAAGGATTGTTCGCTGGCCGTTTGAACGGCCTCTATCATTTGCAGTCGGGACGGTTTCAGGAAGGCCGGCCCCCTGTTTATGGAAAGCATGGTACGAGCGACACATGGATATACTTCTCCAAACGGCGCGTGTGGACGATCGGTGATCATGATCACATGAAGAAGCGGGTGCACTATGGAACAACATGGATGAACAGCGATGATGACATCGAGGTAGGAACTATGCCATGTGAGATTGACGAGTGGTGGGTCACAAACAAGGACATGAAGTGGGTGAAAAAGGATGGGATCAAAATATCTGTGGTGACCGATGCGGAGTTGGTCGAGCGAGATTGGCAGGATGCGAACAAATCGGCGTCAGAACAGAAAGTGCTGAAGCTTGAGGGCGTCACAGGGCAACATGCCGAGTGCGTCAATGGCACGTACTACATGCAGGAAGCATATTGCACGCCCTCGGCGCCTCCTGTCTATTAATGGGAAAAATGGAGACACTGATGCTTGGATCTATTTCGGCGAGGACAAGTCATGGCTCGTTGGATCTTTCCACGCTATGAAGCACCGACTGGGCGATTCTAATCCTGACAAGGTATGGCTCGTCACTGACAGTTCGATTGCTGCTGGCACACTCCCAGATGAGATTGATAGGTGGTTCATGCACGACGGTAAAGATTGGGTGGACGACCTCAATAGCGTGAAAGGTGTGAGGGTCACCTTGATGGAGTCGGAAGGCTCCGATTCGGGCTCCGAGTCAGAGTCGCAGGAGTCATCGCCAGCAGCGCAAGGAAAGAAGCGCTCCCTGCAGGACGGCGACCAGTCTCCGCTGCCCAAGAAAGCAAAATCTGCGCCAGAACTGTATGAGAAAGCCAAGCAGTACCTTCAGAGCAAATCAGAGATTGATGAAGCGGCAGCCACCGAGTTGTGGAAATTGGCGCTGAAGGACAACTTCCTCGATCCATCCGAACGTGAAACTCTGAGGCAGATACAAGCCCGAATGAAATTGGCACCAGGTGCTGAGCGTATCTTCCAGACAGAACTGGCACGTGCAAAAGGACCAGCTGATAATCGTGCTCCTGCGGGTACGCATGTCGCGTGTGATGCGTCCAGTTCCTCGAAGGCTTGTGTGCCCAAAGGGCATAAGAGTTTGGGCGAGTCGGCGGACAATGGTGAGCCTGAAGTGGCAAAGGAGGACGATATTGTGGACGATATGTGGGAAGGGTGTGAGAGGGTACAGATCGCTTTCTCCGTGGAGAAGTACAACATGGACCTTTGCGCCACAAGCGCAGCACAAGTGCTAGCAACTCTGCTCGTCAAAGGTGCCGGCCTCGATCGATTTCCTGAGCTGACCAAATCTGTGGGCAACAAAATGGAGGCTGAGCTTCGAAATGAAACACATCGCCAAACAATCAATATTCATAAAGTTGACAAGGACAATCTCATGCTAGTGGTCATCAGCATCGAAAAGTTGATCACTGAGAAAAAGATGGGTTTCCTTCCCTTCATGTGGTGCCAGAAATATGAGATGCGTCTTCAAGGCTTCGCACAAGTTCTGCAAGCAGATAATCAATCAGCGTTTAAACTTCTGAGGAATCATGTGGGACGAGTGGCGAATGAGGCGCTCCGGGAGCTCCGATCGAGGTTGTCACGGGAAACATAATATGGATGTGCTTGGTGGCGCAGTTGCCGACTTTGCGATGCGGAAGTGTGCGCGTCGTTGATTTGATGGGCGATTTCTCCTCAGGAGCCTTTCTGCGTGCGGTAATGTTAGACTACTGCAGCCAAATTGATTCCCGACTTGTTTCCCCAGGCGCGTGCACGTTCAATAACGCTACAGCGCCGCGGACACATGACTTCATCAGCAGACGGTCTGAAACAACAAAAAGAAAAAAAAACGGCTCAAGAGACCCCCGAGACGGCTCTTGGACGGCCCAAGAGGCCCCCGAGATGCCCCCGAGATGCCCCTGAGATGCCCTTACGAGGCCCCCAGAGGTCCAGTCCCAGGGCGGATCCCAGGGAAGTTCAAGACGCGTTGAAGAGGCCCCGAAGACCCAACATGTCGCCGGGATCATCCTTAATGGAATTATTGCCACAGGTCCTACTAGAAATTCCGAAAGAGCTACATCATCGCCCATGCCCTCTTCACTGGCAGCTTGCGGTTCAAGTTCCTTGGGTGCGGCTAGAGCCGAAGCGAGCGCGAAGCGCGCGCGCGTGGTTCTTGTAGAGAACAAATCTTGATCCATAATCGGTTTGTGGGCGTGCAGTTGGTGCGCTGATTGGTGGTGGGGGGCGTATCTGGCGTTTCCGCTGTGCTTGCGCGTGTCTGGTGGGCGCGAGTTTGTCGCGTCGTCTGGCGGTCGGCGCGCATTTTGTGCTTCGGCTGCGTCCCAGTTCGGTCACTGACTTGTCTTGGCTTGGTAGTCTCCGAGGCTACCACAGACCGCCTTGGCAACGGAACTAGAGGAGACGGACGATGATGATGATGATGATGATGCTGCTGCTGCTGATGATGATGATGATGATCTTGATGATGATGATTCTTCTGATGATGATACTGTTGTTGATCATGATTTTGCTGATTCGGATGATGCTGATGACGATGTGATGATGTGATGATGATGACGATGATGCTGATGGTGATGATGACGATGCTGACCATGATTATGATGATGATGATGGCGATGATGACGATGATGATGACGACGATGATGACTATGATGCTGATGCTGATGATGATGATGCTGATGGTGCTGATGGTGATGCTGATGATGCTGCTGAAGATGATGATGATGCCGATGATGACGACAATGATTGCGATGATGATGCTGATGATGATGATGCTGATGATGATGATCATCATCATGATGATGACGATGCTGCTGATGATGCTGATGATGAAGCTGCAGATGACGATGCCGATGACGACGATGCCTATGCTGATGAAACCATGGCTACGATGATGACGACGATGACGATGACGATGACGATTACGCTGCTGATGATGCTGATGATGATGATGATGATGTTGCTGATGCTGATGCTGATGATGATGATGCTGATGATGATGATGATGATGAGGATGATGATGATGATGATGATGATGCTGATGATGATGATGATGATGATGATGCTGATGCTGCTGATGATGATGCTGATGATGCTGATGATGCTGATGATGATGATGATGATGACGATGATGATGATGATGTTGCTAATGGTGACCGTGAGGGGAAGGAAGCCTAGGATAACGACGGTGATAGACAACAGCAGTAGCAGGACGACGAGGAGGCAAGAGGCTAGCCCTCTTGGTTCCTCCCATCTCTCTTCTTTCATTCTCCGTGCACCCTTACCCCCCTTCTTGCTAGTTACCCTCTGGTGATCTCCGATTCTCCTGCAATTCGCCCCACTCCCTCTAGTTTTACCACGAATCTTGTGCTTATGCCCAGGTAGAAACTAAGCGCGCCGCGTGCGCGTGGTGTTAGCTTTCGACTCCGTGACAGTGCAGCCCGATCCGACGCACGTTCTTGTTCAATCCGATTTCCCAGTTCGATGTTGGCAGGTCCTGCCTTATCGCAGAGACCGCAGGGCAGTTGCGTTTCATCAGGGCCACGTTTTGAACCCTGTTCTGTGTACCTTCACTGTATGCTTGCCCCCCAGGGCTGTTCACCCAACGTTGCCCCACGTGTGTAAGACATGTTCCTATCGTGCGGCAGTCTGGGACAGCTGGAGGCTCCATCACGTTGTCCGCTCCCCTCTTCTTTTCTCGGAGAAGAGACTGCAGGGCCGAATCGTCACACGTGAGCTTCGCGCTCCGAGGGTGACGGCCGTGAGCTGGGCTCCTACCCCCATGGCGAGACGTTCCCTGTTCATCGCCGCTCCGTGCCAGCATGAAGGGGAGTGGGAGGAGGGAGAGGAGGGTGGGGAGGAAGAGGAGGAGGGGGAGGAGGAGGAGGAGGAGGAGGAGGAGGAGGAGGAGGAGAAGGAGGAGCATGAAGCGTAAGGTGGAGGAGGTGTATGAGGCTGGCGAAGATTATGATACTAATGATCATGGTGATGGCCATGGAAGTGATGTGGCGATGGGGATGACGATGACGATGACGATGATGATGACGATGCTGATGATGATAATGATGATGATGATGATCATGAGGCTGCTGCTGCTGCTGCTGCTGATGATGATGATGATGATGATGATGCTGATGATGATGATGATGATGATGATGATGATGATATTGGCGAGTATGCAGAACATGATAATGATGATGCGGATGATGGTGATGATGGTAAGGATGAGGAGGATGCGGCTGCTAAAGATAATTGCGGTGGTGAGGAGGATGACGGTGACGACGATCATGGCATTGAGCGCGACGACGATGACGATGACGATGGCGATGATGCTGCTGCTGATGATGGTGGCGACGGTTATGATGATGCTGATGATGCTGATAATGATGCTGATGCTGCTGCTGATGATGATGATGCTGAACATGGTGAGGATGATGGTGATGACGATGATGATGCTGCTGCTGATGATTTTGATGCTGATGCTGAAGTCGATGATAATGAAGACGATGTCGATGATGCCGTCGACGACGACAATGATGATACTGATGACGCTGATGATGATGATGATGCTGATGACGGTTACGATGATGGCGATGGTCATGATGATGTTGATGATGTTGATGCAGATGATGATGACGATGATGATGATAATGATGATGATGATGATGATGATGATGATGATGCTGATCATGCAGATGATGCTGCTGCTGATGATGATGGTGTTGCTGACCATGATGCTGCTGCTGATGATGCTGACGATGATGGTGATGACGATAATGATGCGGATGCTGATGACGATGACGATGCTGTCGATGATGATGCCGACTACGACGATGCACATGCTGCTGATGATGCTGATGCTGATGATGATGCTGATGATGCTGATGAAGAAGATGATAATGCCACTGATGCTGATGATGAGCATGACGATGTTGACGATGCTGACGATGGCGATGACGATGACAATGACGATGACGATGGTGATGGTGATGCTAGGCTTTCCTGATGGTGCTGTTGATGGTGATAATACTGGTGATGCTGATGCTGATGATGGTGATGCTGATGCTGATGACGATGATGCTGCTGATGCTGATGATGATGCTGATGCTGATGATGCCGGCTATGCTGCTGATGACGATCATGACGGCAATGCTGATGATGTTGTCGACGATGATGATGACGATGTTGATGAGGATGATGATGATGCCGATGATACTGATGATGATGATGATGATGATGATGATGATATTGATGCTGCTGCTGCTGATGATGATGATGATGCTTCTGATGGCGATGGTGATGCTGCTGATGTTGATGATGTTGATGATGATGGTGATGCCCATGATACTGGTGACGATGATGATGACGATGCTGATGTCGGCAATGACAGCTACGATGGTGAAAGAAGTTGGCAGTGACAACCATGATGACTGTGAAGCTTATGATGCTCATGCTGCTACTGCTGATGGTGCTGATGCTGAAGCTGTTGCTGCTGATGATTGTCGAAGACGATCTTCAAGCGAGGGCGCGCACGGCCCGCTCCGCAGGAGCGTGCACCCCAAGATGATGCACCTGTCCCCGCAGGAGACCCTGCAGCTGGCCATCACCCTGAAGATCGACGAGACGTGTCCCACCAAGGAGTGTGTGTGTGTGTATGTGTGTGTGTGTGTGTGTTTGTTTCTCCGCCTCGACGCTTCGCGCGAGGCCGCGACCGCCACGCAAGTGTGTGTAGTTGTGTGTGTGTGTGTGTGTGCGTGTGTGTGTGTGTATGTGTATGTGTGTGTGTGTGTGTGTGTGCGTGCATTTGTATGTGCTTTTTTTCCCAACCATCCTGTGGTGTTGGGTCCTCGATTTGAAGAGACGGCGCTCCGCGTTCTCGCCTCCTTCCTCCCCCTCCTCCCTTATCCCACCCCTCCCTCATCTCTCCTCGTGCCGTCATCGCCATCACTATCGTCATCATCGTGATCACCGTCACCATTATTGGCGTCATCAACATCGCCATCGTCAGCGTCGTGACACGCCTCTCGCACGGTTCGTGGTCTCATAGGGAGCTCCACCAAATGCGCCAGTGTCGGAGGTTGCATCGTCAACGCCACCCATTTCGGCACACCCCTCACACAGTTCGTGGCCCCATAGGGAGCTCCACCGAAGCCTCCAGTGGCAGCGGTTGCATGCGTCAGCGCCACCCATTTCGGCACACCCCTCACACGGTTCGTGGCCCCATAGGGAGCTCCACCGAAGGGTCCAGTGAGAGAAGGAGGACGAGGAGGATGAAGAGGAGGAAAGGGAGAGGAGGAGAAGGAGGACGAGAAGGACGCCATTTGCATATCGTTTGTCGTGAGAGCCTCTTGGAGGACTCTTGGGGCTATCTTGGGCTCTTCCTGGGGCCCTGTTGGGATCCTCTTGGGACTGCCCTAGGGCCCTCTCGGGACTCTCGGGGCTGTGTTTGGGTGTCTTTGGGCCCTCTTGGGGCTCTTTGGGGAGGGTCTTGGGGCGATCTCGGGCCCCGCTATGGCTCAGAAGGAGGGCAGCCATGCCGCCCGCCCCCCCCTCGGAAGACGGCACACACTGCCTCTACTGGGGGCCTGTTGCAGCGCTCTTGCGGGCCTCCTGGGGGCCTCTTGGGCGCCTCTCGGGGCCCTCTGGGGCTCCTCCGGGTGCTCTCTGGGGCGGGGGCTTCCTGGACCACCTCCCCCCAAATCCCTTGTTTTCGGAAGGTCGCCCTCCTCGCTCTGCCCCCCTCTCCTGCGCGCCGCCGCAGTATGGCCCCATCAGCTTGGCATCAGTCGGGCGTGTGCTTTTGCTCCCGGCGAGGACCATCGAGGAACATTCTGGCTCATCTTACGACGCAGGCGACGCACGAAATCGAAAAATGCACGCGGAATGGACGTCCGAGCGATGGCGAGTCAGGGATCGTGCCCTCCGGGGCGTGCCCCAATCAGACTCCGATCGCCCCCTCTCGGCCAGGGTCTCCCTTCCCCACTAGTGCAAGCCAGAAGGACATCTTGAACCTCATCGTCTCCGAGGGCAACGACCTCACCGTGGAGGTGACACGGGCCCGCGGCGCAACCCTCACCCGCGATGCACCTTCCGACCCGATCCTCCCCTGTACAGTCGGACCGAGGTATAAGATCGAGGTCGGTTCGGGGAGGGTACCCTAGTGCTCTTCGTGTTTGCTGGGTGTTCTCGTGCATCCTGGATGTTCTGTTTGTTTTGGCAGGCGGAGGGTCTCGTGTTCTTGAAGGATGTTCTTCTGGCCTGGGTCCGACTGTATCCTCCTCCCTGCCCCTCGTCAGCCGCCACGCACGGAGGGCCACTACCACCGCTGGGGGTTGCAGAGGGTCGGGCCAGCCGAAGCAGAACTGATGGCATGAACATGCACTGTCGGAGCCCTGCACCAATTTCTTGGATCGGCGCTGGCCCCCCCTCGAGAGGGCGAGAGGCTGACTCCTCTTCTTCGGCGGCAGGTGGCGGAAGGCTGGCAAGAGGCGGCAGGAGTAGAATTCGAAGACGAGACAACTGCGTAAGCATACACTTCCGGAGGTCCGCGTGGATCCCCCTGGCAGCGCCTCCGGCGCCGCCCCTGGCGCGCTCCGCGCGCCAGGGAAGGGGTTCCAGCGCCGGTCCAAGAAATCCGCTCGGAGGTCCGAAGCTTCATATCTATGCAGCTTTTTCTTTCTCCAGTCCATGGAGTGGCAGTGATGCGTGCTGGTTTGGGCGCCTCCGTGGGGCATTCAGCGCACCCGCATCCCACGAAACAGCGCACCTTGTGCTGCCCAGGTGGTGGTGGGGGTTAGTTGTTTCTATTGTTGTTTTGGATCTTTCCTCTGACCCTTCCTTCCCTTCCCTTACTCCCCCCCAGTGCGCTCAGTACGACCGACGCTCCGCGTCATCCCGATCTCCTTCCCCCTGCGATTCAGCCTTGGACGATCCTGAGGCCCACGGCTCGATCTGCGCGGGCACCACGCCTCCCATCACCTCAGGCTGGCTGGGCGCCCGACCCGAGCAGCGATCTCGATAGACTTCGACCTCGCTGTTATCCCAGCGGCACCCGGTCTCTCCTCCTCGTTTCAGGATCGCGGAGGGTATGGGCTGCGAGCGCAGTGCGCACGGAGGAAGCAGGGTGGTGCCAGTCGGCCAGGCCGAGCCGCGCCGCCGCGAGGTGAGAGGCAAAGGGACCGAGACACCGATCCAGAGCGAGCAGCCTCTGGACCTCATCGACTTCGGCACCCTCTTCACCACCCACCACGCGGGGCGGGAGCCATGGCAGCGGGGAGCAGGACCAGGAAAAGGGTCGGACTGTGCTGAGGCGGGCGATGACGACGGTGAGGTTGCGGATGAGGATGAGGATGATGGCGGGCCCGGGGCCCTGATGTGTGCACCTCCCGTCTGCCTCCCCCCCTCCCTTCGCAGGAGGAAAACACTGGATCGTGGCAGTTGGCGCTTTCAGGTATTAATCAGCGGGCGAATGAGGGTATAACATTTGTTTTTCGTCACAGGGGGCGCCTGTCCCAGGGGTGCTGGACAGTTTATACCTGACGTGCCACCGTAGGGGTATAAACTTTCCAGCCGCCCTGGGACAGTTGTCCCCGACGGCGAACCAGTTTATTTTACACCGTCCTTCGCCCCTTAAATGAAGGACAGAGTTGTGGATGTACGTTGGCACAGATGGTCGATTGTGAATTGCGTGCGGGCCGCGTGGCGGCGTCCGCGGCGACGGAGGGAGGAGGAAGGGCAGGAGAGGGCGGGGGGAGAAGGAGGAGAAAGAGGATGATGATGATGATGATGATGATGATGATGATGATGATGATGATGATGCTGATGATGATGATGATGATGATGATGATGATGATGATGATGATGATGCTGATGATGATGATGATGATGATGAGGAGGAGGAGGAGGAGAGTGACGATGGGGGAGGAGGAGAGGTAGGAGAGAGGAAGGAGGAGAGAGAAGGGATGAAGGGCACGACGATGGTGACGAGGAGCAGGACGATTATGGTTACGATGCTGATGATGCTGATGATGATGACGATGACGACGGTGATGATGGTGACGATGCTGGTAATGCTGATGATGATTATGATGCTGATTATGATGATGATGATTATGCTGATGCTGTTGATGACGATTATTATGATGATGACGCTGCTGCTGATGATGAGGATCATGAGGTTGCTGATGCTATGATAAGGGGCGATGCTCGTGTTGATGCAGATGCTGATTGCCATTCTTATGATGATGGCGATACTGAGGACGATGACTATAATGATGCGTGTGGGAACTTTGTTGACGATGGCGAATACGAGTGTGGTTACGATGGTGATGCTGCTGCTGATGATGATGACGACGGTAGTAGTGGTGGCGGTGATCATGGTGACGATGATTATGTTGATGGTGCCGATGGCGATGATGATGGCGATGATGAGTATGAGGATGGTGATGGTGGTACAGAGGAGCAGGAGGAGGATAATGAGCAGGAGGAGGAGAATGAGCAGGAGGATGAGGAGGAGTAGGAGGAGGATAGGGATGATGATGCTCACGATGAGGGGGCGTACGAGGAGAAGGAGGATAGAAGGATGAGAGAGTGACGAGGCGATGGGGATGCGGAGAATAACGCTGAGGATGATTATGAGGGGGGGAGAGAAAAAGAAAGAGAGAGAGAGAGAGAGAGAGAGAGAGAGAGAGAAAGAGAGAGAGAGAGAGGCAATGACAAGAGAGAGAGAGAGAGAACAAATAAAACAAGAAAGAGAGAGCGAGAGAAAGAGAGAGAGAGAGAGAGAGAGACAGAGTCGCCATCTCGGGGCCCGTCTTGGGACCCTCTCGGGGGCCTCTCGGGCCGTTTTGGAGCTATCTTGGAGGCCTGTTGAGCCGTCTTCGGCTGTTGGAAACCCGAGGAGGCGAGAACGCGAAATTCGTGAGAAAACAGAGAGACCTTCATGATTTGGGCCTCTCCGGGCCCTCCCAGGGGGCCACTTGGAACCCTCTTGTGGCGTCTTGGGGGCCTCTTGGGCCGCCTTGAGGCCATCATGCGCCGTCTTGGAGCCACATTGGTCCGTCTCGGGCCATGCTGGAGCAATGTTGGCTTTCTTGGAGGACATGTGGGACCATCTTGGAGTCCTTTTTGGTGGCATCTTGGGACCATCTTGGGCGGAAAAGCCATGGAACAAACATTTTCTGGTGGGCCGGTGTATTGAGCTGGAGGCCATTGGGATTTTTTTCAAAAGGGTTCAAGCGGTCAACATCCGGCACGCCAACCACCCCTCTCGTAAGCAACAGCGGGCGGCGGATCGAAGACGCCTACGGCGAATCACTGCCGCCCCCTGCCTGTTGGAAACGCCCATGCGGTCAAACGTTCGGCCGAAGTCTGGCCAAGCTATTGCACTATGTGTTCCCCCTGCTGTTGGGAGAAGAAGAGGCAGGGAGGAACAGTAGAACGAGGAGGAGGAGGAGGATGTTGCAGTAAACGCTCCCTCCAAGTTCCTTGTTCATGAGTCACTACAGTAGTTCATTTGTCATTACGGGAAGTGCTCCTTTGGAAGACAACCGTCTGAGAATCCTCAATCGCGCCAAACACAGTTCCTGTAACTTCCACGACGCGAATCAAGGTGATTGTTGCGTCCTGACGAATCGTGCCAGGACGCAATTCATGGAATTCAACACCGCGAATCAACGTGACTGCTGCGTTCTAACAACCCGAAGTCGTGGAAGGACACCCTTTCTGGGATTTCAACCACTCAAATCCCTGATCATATTGCGAGCATTCAAGACGAATGTATGCGACGCTAAGGCGAGCGCCGCATTTTGGAAAGGAACCGCCCTCCATCTCTGAAGCCGTTGTAGGCTTGAATAAGAGATTGCGCGGCTCTAAAATGAGAGCCACATTTTGCAAACGGTCGGACGGTCCATCCTTGAACCTCTCGCAAACTTTTAAGACGACTGTGCACGGAATTAATGGTGAACAAGCCTCATGCGAAGCGCCCGGCCCGCCCTGCTGGCACGCCCTGGGGTGCGACAGGGAGGAGTCATTTGGGAGGAAGAGGGATCGAGGAGGAGGAGGAGAAGGAGCAGGAGAAGCAGGAGGAGGAGGAGAACAAAGAGGAGGTCTCCAGCCTCTTGGGGGCCTCCGAGGGGCCTCTTGGGGGCCTCTTGGGGCTTCTTGGGGGCCTCATTGGGCCTGGGCCTCTTGGAGGCCTTGTGGACATCTTGGCCTTCGGAGGCCATCTAAGGGGCATCTTGGATGTCTTTTGAGGGCCGTCTTGGGGGCTTCTTGGGCCGTCTTGGGGCCCTCATGGGGCTTTCTTTGGCCGTCGTGCGGGCCTCTTGGCTACATCTTGGGAGCCTCTTGAGCCGTCTTGGGGCGATCTTGGGGCAATCTTGGGGGCCTATGAGGCCGTCTTGGAGCGTCGGAAATCCGAAAAGACGCGAACGCTAAAATCATAGAACAAGTTACGGGATATATTGGTTTTGGCCTGCTGGAGTCCTTTTGGTGCCTTCTTGGGGCGTCTTGGGGGCCTCTTGGGCCGTTTGGAGGCCATCTTTGGCCGTCTTGGGTGCATCTTGGGCTGTCTTGGATGCGTCTTGGGGCCATATTGGGCGCAGTTGGGACCATCTTAGTCGTCTTTGTGGAGGCATCTTGGAGGCCATCTTGGGTCATCTTTGCCGTCTTGGGGAGATTTTTGGTGGACGTTGATGAGGTCTTTTTGGGTGACTGGCGGGCTGGGCCGGAGGCCCGTGGGAACCTTTAAAAAGGACTTAGCCGTCAAACGTGCGGCACTCCAGGCACCCCTTTGATAAAGCAAGAGGGGGCGGCAGATCTAGTGGTATTCGGCTCAACCCGCCACCGTGATTGTGTTGTGGACCGGAGGCCCCGTACATGTCTCTTGGGGTCTCTTGGAAGAGCTCGAAGGGACCTGAGGACGCTTCAGGGGGGGGGGGGGGGGGAAGAGGGTGATGAGGATGAGGAGTAGAGGAGGAGGAGGAGGAGGAGGAGGAGGAGGAGGAGGAGGAGGAGGAGGAGGAGGAGGAGGAGGAGGAGGAGGAGGAGGAGGAGGAGGAGGAGAACCGTTGTCATCGCAAGACGCATCCACGATGTTGCAATACTTCCTCCCGTCAAGGTCTCGGGAAGGGTCCGTTGGAAGACAATCGTTTGACAAATGTCAACCGTGCCAACGCACCATTCCTGGGACTTCACACCGCGAATCAACGTTACTGCTACGATCCGGCGATCTAAACTCGTGCCAAAGCGCCGTTTCTGGGACGTCATCACCACGAATCAGCGTGACTGTCGCGCCCTGACAATCCCAAGTCGTACCAAGACACCATCTCTGCGACGTCAGCCATAAGAGCCCTTGACACGGTTGTAGACTGTTAAGACGAAGGTATGCGGCGCTAAGGCGAGATCCACATTTTTTAAAAGGAATCGCCCTCCATCCGTGAAGTTCTTGTACGAACTTAAAGTACGAATGTGTGCGGCGCTGAAGCGAGAACCACATTTTGAAAACGACCCGCCTGCATCCATGAAGCTCTTGCAAACTTTGAGAGAAGAACGTGCGCGGCGCCAAGGCGAGAGCCACATTGTGAAAACCGCCCGCCTTCCATCCGTTAAGCTGTTGCAAATCTGAAGCTTGAGAGCTATAACAAATGGTGAGGAAGTCTCAGGCGAAACGCCTGGCCCGCCCTGCCGACCCGTCCCGGGGTGCGACAGGGTCGAGCTATTTATAAGGAAGTGGGATGCAGGAGGAGAAGGAGGAGGATTAGGAGGAGGAGGAGGAGGATGCGGAGGAGGAGGAGGAGGAGGAGGAGGAGGAGGAGCAGGATCAGGAGCAGGATGAGGAGGAGGTAGCGGAGGGGGAGGAGGAGGAGGAACAGCAGGGATTTCTTGGTGTGTAAGCTTGAGGCCTCGCAGCGCGCTTCGACACCCTTGCTGTCCTCGCGCGGCTCGGTCTGTCTGACCTAGGAGCTTCATCGTCGGCTGAGGTCGTTTCGGGCGTGGAGTTCTATGTCGCCTAGTGGGGATGCTCATGATGAAGAGGAAAGAGGATGAGAGAGCAATGAGGAGAAGGGGGACGATGATGATGCTGATTATGATGATGAGGAGGAGCAGGAGGAGGAAGAGCAGGAGGATGAGGAGCAGGAGGAGAAGGAGGAGGGGGAGGAGGAGAAGGAAGAGGGGTGATTTGGCAGACTCTCAGTAACGACTTGTGCAGAATGATTGTGGAGTCGACCGCAGCAGGGGAGGAGCCCCGAGATATCGTTATCAGGAACTACGGGCAGATAGCGCGGCGGCTGACCTGGCTCAGAGAGAAGGAAAAGAAGAAGGAGCCAGAGCCGGAGCCGAACAAGAAGGGCAAAGCCAAAGTACAGGCGTTCTCCCGCTTTTCGCGCAGTGCCGAGCCACTCTGCAACCGTCTCGGCCGCCCAAGACAATTCTTGCCACGATGTCAGAGCATATTCTCGACAAGAGCATGTTGACAGAACCCTCCAGACACGTCATCTGCCAGCGCTGCGCTTCTTAGCTAATGCCCAGCAGGTTCCCTGAACTTCCTGCTCAGCCCCCTTGGCTTTGGGAGCGAACCGTCGCTGCAAGAGGATACGGCACATCAGATGGCCTCCTTCCATCAATCTTCGGCAGTCGGCATGCTACCGTCGTCACCCCGGTTCAGGGGTCGAATCGCCCCCTGCGTTTTAAAGGATTTTGTTTTGTGGGAGGCGGAGCGCGTCGTTTGCTTGCTGTTGGTATCGGCGTGGTATACCCGCTATGCTTTTCTTCGGCGCTGCCTCCCACTCCTCTCTCTCTCTCTCTTTCCGCCGCCGTCCGCCTAAACTTCAGCTTAAGCAGAGTCTAAGCCTCAGCCCAGCCCAGCTTAATCTCCAGCCGAAGTTTAGCCGAAGTCTAGCCTAAGCCTCAGATTCAGCCTCTGTCTAGAACAGGCTCTGCTTCTTCAGCCTGGCCTAAGCCTGGCCTAAGCCTGGCCTGAGCTTAAGCTTCAGCCTCGGCCTAGCCTAAGCTTTAGCCGAAGTGTTGTCTAAGCCTGGCCCAAACCCAAGCC